AAAGAGATGGATGATGCTCTTGGTGACAAGCCAGCTGTGAAACCTGTGTCCATAGCTTCAACACTAAAAAAGCGTAAATCTACTATTGTAGAAACTCAAGATTCAAGTGCAGCTTCTATATGCTTAAACAGCAGCAGTGAAGCCGATAGTGAGCATGGTTCTACTTCTAAATCCAAAATGAAAAAAAAAGTGTCACTGAGAAAAACATCGAAAGACTATTAACCATAAGAACAGAGGAGTCTAACAGAAAAGAAGAGGCCCGACAGAAGAGGCACACTGAACGTATGGAACGACAGGATCGTGCCATTGAAGTTTATCAAAGTGTAATGAGCCAACTCTTGAAGAAGTTATAGAGTTGTAAGTAGTGTGTAGTTTTTTCTTTCTATTTTGACATTATACACTGATTTCTTTAATTTTTTTTTTTTTTATTGTAGAGTTTTATATTATTGGAGCACTTGATTTTGTATTGCAATTCTTATGCTAGTCAGAGAATTATCTCAGTGTATTAATTTGAAGAAGCGGAGGAAGTCCCGAAATTTAGTCGGTAATACGCCATATCTTATTCGTCCTGTTCTACTAGCAACTCATTGGTGCTCTAAATATAGTTGTCTTTATCGTAAGTTTATCGTTATCAGCTCAGTTCTCGGTGCTCGCTTAGAAACGACTTTCGTTATACATATTCCTATTTTGGATAAAAGTAAACGATACTTTTCAACGGAAACGCTCTTAATTGCTTTTTTCTAATTAATAATTTATCTTACTTCTGCGTAATGAGCATGGATATTAAAATATTCTTTTTAATTTATTTTCACGGTTTAATATAATAAATATCACATACGTATCTCCCGATAATTATTTACCACTTTTAATTAACGTAGGTAGAAATTATAATTTATTAACCGTTTGATTGTATATAAATAATTTATCTGATAGAAAAGTTATTCAAGCATTAATTTTTTTAAAGTAAATACTAGCAAAACATACACCTATTCTGAGACCCCTCGCATTAAATATAACTAGGGATGAGTGACGTCTGGGTCGACTGACTTGTAAGTTATATTGTTATTAATGCGTGTTGTCTCTCGCAAAGCGTCGTTTATTTATAATATTTGTTCTTTAGCTGATAAAACGAGCGACGCCGACGTTTATTTCGCTCAAATGACAATCATTAAGTGATTAAAAAATTGTACTTAACGATAACAGTCCCGTCGTGTTTTACTTGAAAATTGCAAAATTAATCGATAAATTGTGGACAGTATTCTGCGTGTCGTATCACGCACACCGGACTTTCAGTAATATTATGTATAATTCTGAGGTCACGTTTAATTGCTCGAGTCCCGATAGTGTCACAAATTACGTGCTTGCTTGCTTTACGTGGAGTTGCATGGAAATAAACAATGCGCTACAGAAATCCGTATAATTTTCTAACATTTTCCGCGCTTTAAATATAAAGCTTTATTGAAAGTTGCTATTATTATCTTTTATTCCTTTGAGATAATTAGATAAACTTAATTTAATTAAATTAAAATAATTAAATATAACTTTTATATTAATATCTTCCATCAAAGTTTCAAGACAGTTCATGAGCTTTAACATATTCATTAATGTAGTCATTATTCACCTCAAATTAAAATTAAAATATTAGGCGAGCATTCTGTGGATTTGGCATATTCGAGGTGGACGACGTTTGTTCATTTCCAAGCAGCTCCACGTAATCCATGGACAACGGTTGCAACAGTTACCGCTAGTGTCCCAAGTAGGAGGCTGTGTATAATAAATTTCTTATCCCGGCGTTCCATTGAATCTTGCGTCTTCTTTCATGCATGGCACGTGCTTTTCGGCCCTCAGCTGCTATGTCTCTTCGTGGAATCTTCAAATACCCATCGTTACTCGAGCACGTGTCCCCTTTCGTTTGTCCTTCTTCCGGTCGGGGAAGGGACCGAGAACGGGCATAAAACAAAAACTCATTGCTAAACTGAAAGAAAGAACTTTGTTGTGCATGTTTCTCATTTAGTAGTAACCTTTAATAGTATTATTTTAGTATTTAGTTCTATTCTTATTTCGTTTTGTAACGTCCATTTCCACTAATGCAGATTAACTTTAATCTTAGTTTAATTAACTTTTTACTTTTTTAGTTCTAAGAATTAGAAAAAGATAAAAAGTAAATTAAACTGAGATAAAAGTTAATCTACATTGGTGGAAACGTACATAATTCACAGTATTGATCTCTATATAATTTTAATTACTTCAGTAATTCAGTAATTCATTAATTTTAAGTAATTCAAGATATTGTAAATGATTGTTTGCGATTGGTGCTACCTGAAAGTATTATTGGGATTAAGTTCTTTGCACATGTTATTGACTCAGATACTTAATGTGATTTAATGCTTAAAGACTGAAACACTTGTTATGTTGAGGATATATATATATTTCTAATATATTTTATTGCCACATATATAAATATTTGTAATGTATATTGTATAGGTAAAATGACATGAATAAATACAGTTCTATCACAAGTATTTATGCCTTGATTCATTATTTTATTCTTCATCAAGAAACTTTGTCTACTAACAAAATATATAATTAGAAGTGTTATACTTATGACCGCTAGTGTATAATACATAACTATCAAACTAAGGTTACTAGATAATTTCTTTTTGCTAAACCAGCATCTTCATCTGCCACTGGATCTTGAACACAAACTTCATTCTCCCTGCCTTCTTCAATGTTTTCATTTTTCCAACCTTCTAAGATATATTCTTCTATGTTTTCATCAAATCTTTCAAGACAGATGTTGTGAAGAACTGTGCAAGCAATTATTACAAAGGGGATCATGTCCATTCTATTCATGTCTAGATATTTCAGCCTTCGAAATCTTCCTTTCAGCAATGCGAATGCTCTTTCAATGACTTGTCTAACTGTAGACAGTATGTTGTTGAATCTTTTCTGAGCCTGCAAAAGAAAAAATATTCTAATAATTTCATGGTTTCGACATGCAAAGAGAAGTGAAGAAAATGTTTACCAAATGAAAAATTAATATGATTCTATAGATACAACTAAATATATAAAGTATGTATTTACCGCTGTAAGATTACCACGATCACGAAAATACGCAGAAATACACCAACGTAAAATAGGATAAGCTTTATCACCAATGATGTATTCCTCGTTAGGGAAATATGATTGTCTATCCCTCTGGACTTCTGACCAAAGATCAGAATTTCTAAATACTCTTATATCACCTACAGATCCTGGGTAATCAGCAAAGCAATCCAGAAAAACTAACTCAGAGTCACATATAGCTTGAAGTATAACAGCATATTTTTTCTTATATGTCTTATAGGACAGAGAATCTTTCTTTAAAAAATAAAGTTTCAGCAAATGTAATATTTAGAGGTATTATGTATTTAAAATCAATATAAAATTATCCAGAGCTAATGAACAGAGTTAGGTCACCGTGCTATTATTATTAAAAAGTTATAATAATACGTTTCGGTTAAACAATGTTTTTTTACTTTATTTCTTTGATGATCGCATTTATGGTTAAAACATTTGATATTTTATTTGTTTAATATAATTGTTTAATAATAATAGCACAGTGACCTCTACTCAACCCTTGACAATTTTATATTAATTTTAAATGTTTAGAGCACATACACAAAATATTTATAAATTTTAATGTTCATTTTAATTTTAAACTCGCTCAACAAATTTTTGCATAAAATCATATCATGATCAGAACATTGGATAAATCCATCAAGATATAGTTGTTTTAAACGAAAAAGAAACTTACATACGGCTCTTTTATAGAAATATGAGTACCATCCACAGCTCCAATAATGTCAGGTAGCACTGACAACCTTTGAAATTTTTGTTTTACTGTTGCTAATCTGTCTTCTCTTGGCCATTGTATGACATCTCTAGCGATGTCATTCAAGGCTTGTACAACCCTCATGAAACTGACATTCAGTGAGCTCTTACTCATGTCAAATCTTTCCCCTACAGACCTAAAACAAATACACTTATTCACAGACAAGATTCACACACACATGCACACGCACGCGTGCATACACACACACACACACACACACACACACACACTTTCAATGGTCGTGAATTACATATCATGACTATACATTTTCTACTACATCTGTGGTTGCATAGTTTTCACTGTCTCTTTAGAAAATGCTTTAAAAGAAACTTACCTGTAGGAATCTGGTGTAGCCAATAACCATAGAGTTGCAAGTAATTGCTTCCTGACTGGTATGTGAGATTTCATACCAACATCTCCTTGCAAAATTGGTGCCAATCTGTTCGAGTTGATTGTACGTTGTTGGAGTCATGCGAAAATGCTGCCTGAACTGCTCACGATGAAGTTGTGGGATTGTATGTTCTATATAACCTTCAATTCTTACAGGTTTGCGTTGAGGTCCTCGCAATTGCATATGTATTCGCATATCCAACTCCTCATCAGAGGTATCACTGCCACTACTGTCACTATCACTTTCCATTACTTCTTGTAAAAATTTTTACTTATAGTCACAACTGACGCTATAATTACTCGATGATCCATCTTTAAGGTTAGGTGATTGTAGATGGACGTTTTCTTTGTTAATGGCACCTTTACACAGTCTCCAGAATGCATAGGTGCGTTCAGATTCTTCACTCCACCGAAATCACCTCACAGTAACTCCGCCCACTCCCAGTCCACCCTACCCACACTCGCTGGGTGAGAGATCTGAACGCACCCCAGAGGGTCCCTCTCAGAAGGAGAGGAACCCCCTTCCGTGGACGGCGTTGCCCCCCCACTGGTGCCTTATGGCTCCCGGTGAGGGGGCCCCGTACGTCACGTCTCCGTCATTGAGAGGGGCCCAGGCGCCCCGAGCGGGCGGGCGATGCCCACCCGCCGGGCACGCCCGCCCCCCCTCCCGAGAGGCTGCCGGGGGGAAAGGAGCTACGGGCTTAGACGCCCCCACTCCCCCCCCCCCCCGACACCCTCATCCTACGTCTATTGTCGACGCAGGAATAAGATGGGCGCCCCTCCCCCGACCCCCGCCACCGCAAACAGCCACGCTCGCAGGTACAACTGTCGACGGCGGGAAGAGGGGAGGCACGCCCCCACCCTCCGATTCCTCTTCCTCCGAGGACTGGGCGCACGCATTTCGCCCAGCTCTCTCTCTCTCTCTCTCGGCCTCCTCCTTTTGCGAGATTACTCTCTCGCAAAAGAAGGAGAAGGCCGCCCATCTATCTTTGGACCCCACAATTGCCGACACGATCGTCGGCATTGTGAGGTCCCTCCCCACTGCGGCCACCAGATCAGCCCTTTCGCACCCCCATGAGGGACATCCCTCAAGGGTGTGCTCGGCGTCATCCCTTTGGTGGCCACAGTGGTGACAATTGGTCGTCCTTTCCCTCTTAATTCGACCCAGGTACTCACCGAAGCAGCCTTGTCCGATGAGCACCTGGGTCATACGATAAGTGACGCCTCCATGTGCCCTGTCGAGCCATTCCTTGAAGCAGGGCAGGACAGCCTCGACGGTCCTTCTACCTGGCGACCTCGGGTTTTGGAGGTCGCCAACCCATCTCTCAATTAGGATCCGCCGGTGGTGGACTTTAACTACACTGCGGACACGGTCGGTTATTACTTTTCCTTCCTCCTTTAGCTCGCATGTACGCCTATATATGTCCGCGTACATGCGAGTCAGCAGCTCCGCGGGGGGTATTCCCGCGAGCACCCCCGCCGCTACTCCGCTTATTGTCCGGTAGTCCCGGCATATCCTGCACGCCACCCTTCTCTGGACTCGGTGTACCGAATCCTTTAGCTTCCTGGTGGCGCACAGTTTCTCTGCCCATACCGGGGCTCCGTACAGTAGCATGGAGTGTACCGTGCCCGCATATAGCCGACGAACACTTTCCTCTGGCCTTCCGAGATTAGGGAGAAGACGGCTTAATGCTATCGCCGTCCTCTCCACCCTCGGTATATCAGGCTGCGCCTGGATAAGCTGTGCAGGTTCGTCAAGCCGGGCCTGGATAGTTTGAGCGGGCCGATCAGATTGACTTGATACACAACTTGATACACGTAATGCGTTTAAGAGTTTGTAAGTGGTGAGACAGTTTTTTTGTTATGGTTTGTACTTGTACGTTTCTATTATACTGAAGATGATCCAAAGAAAGAACCGAAACGTTTATACTGAATAAACTTGTTTATAGTATAAGTTATTGTGTAATTTTTGCGTTCCTACACCTTGCGCTTGGCTCTATAAGCCGTGTTTAGATTTGTTTCAGATTAAATAAGTTATGTAATTTTATTAATAATTTATCATTAGACACTGTTTGTTTATTACCTACTTGTAATATGTGTGATGTTCTTAATAATGCAATGTTAAGTCGTATTGTTTCCAAAAATATATTATTAATTGCTAAAGACACGATTAACTGTGTTTCATATTTAAAAAAGAAAGCATTAAAAGTATTGTCAAATAACGATGATGATAACTTAAAAACAGCTGAACTTTCGAAACAAATTAAAATTATACATAATTTCGATGCTAGTTTAGGTCATATGAAATTGAAAGAGTAAATGTTAAATTTGAAGTGGTAGATAGAGTGTATGTTATTAGAAAACAATTTCCATTATCTCTGAGTTATGGTATCACTATTCATAAAAGCCAAGGATTGAGTTTGCGAAATGCAATTATGGACATCGGTAACTCTGTATTTAGTTGTGGTCAAATTTATGTTGCATTATAGTAACGCGAGTAACATCTCTAGAAGAATTACATTTAATTAATTGTGGTCCTTTATCAGTAATAACTAGTAAAAAAGCTATTATTGAATATAATCATCTAAAACAGATACACAATCGAAATGTAGAAATGATTACTATGACGAAAGAACGCTATCGTAAAGTGAAAGATGTTTTATGAGCGTTGCTAAAAATAAATACATCTGTTCAAAAATCAAGTTCAGATAAAACAGTTCGACGAAGTACTGCTTGGATCATACGTGGTTGCCACAATACAGATAAAGTTTTATGCTATGCAAATGCAGTATTACAATGTTTATTACATTTAAATGTCATTAGGCAACAATTATTAATTGTGATAAATCAGATCTTTTACGTATATTAATGCATCAATATGAATATGGATTATCTCATTTAAATACATATGCAATACGGCAATAGTTAGGAGAACATTTTTCGAACACCGTGAAACAAAATGCATCCCATTCTTTAACGACTCTTTGCGAAAAATTGATTTTATTAGAAATTTGATAGAACATCAAGTTACTTCTACTAAACGATGCAAAATTTGTGGCGATACTAAAACTATTGTTGATAAAAATATTACTGTTTTAATTCCAATTAATAATTTGAAAAACAAAAGTTATAATCTTAATGATTTATTAAATAATAATACGAATACTAAGTCGGCTCTTTAATTTTTAAAAACACGAATTAATTTTCTCGCCTATTTCTTTACAGGGGAAATTAAGAGAGGAACAAGGGAATTTCTGAGATCCCAACCATCCCATCAAACACAGTATGTAAATGTTATATACTTAAGCATGTTACATGTAACGTATATGTTAGTTGTAATTTCCTACTCATAGATGTAACATTTTTAATATTACATATATTACATATTGTAGTTATATTGTCATTATATCCCAAGATAGCACTGACTTATCAATACATCAATGTGCTATTTGGTATATAATTACAATATAACTACAATGTAATATATGTTATATTAAAATGTTACATCTATGAGTGGGAAATTACAACTAACATGAATGTTACATGTAACGTACACGTTATATTACCTGTTATATTCCGTTTTATTATAGCAATGTAACAATTATATATCGGTGTTTGCTGGGATAGGATACAAATTCCTTAGTTTCCAAATTTTCTTTCTAAATTATCGCAATAACATCGCGTGTGGCTCTATGGCTGAGAGGAATGAAGTGTAAATCGTGATTTATTAAATGTTACGTTTTCACACTGGAATAAATCATACAATGAATCATTGTACTGGAAATGATATAATATTTAAAAATGAAATAACATTGGCAAAGAGGTAGTTGTGTAATTCATTTCACAGTATTTTCACAAAATGATAAATTAATAAAAGCAACACAAAAATTAAATCTATGTGCTGGTCCAACAACTAAAGTATTAATAGCTGGGCAGTTATATAAGACGATGAATGCTATATTCCATCAAGGTTCGTCTATTGATAAAGTCATTATATAAGAATGTGTAGAGAAGGAGTATCTAACATTTGGATTGCAAAGTTGATGATGTGCTAGTTAAAAAAAAACAGTGGCCTAGAGGTGCTAAAAATATTATGTAATACAAAAAATGGCTAATAAATAATATATATAACATATATGAAATAACATATATAAACTATAAAATTTGTAAAACAAATAAGCAATTTTATATTGAATCTTTTCATTAAAAATACATTATTGGAATTATAAACTTATAATAATAAAACTTAATTGTTTAATTTTAAATGATAATAAATATATACTAGAAAAAAATGATATCCATAAAAAAACTTATCTTTAAAAAAAGGGAAAAAAAGGGCGCTATGTTTATGTGTCATGTGTAAAAGTATTATAGAAAAAAATGTAAAACTTATGTTATAAAATTAATATTTTCTAAAAAAAAGCAGCGCCAAGTTTTTTAACTTTTTAAAAATTTTTTCTCTTTTTTTTATTTAGTATAATTTTTTAATTTTTGCATAAGTTTTTAATTTTCAATTTTTTTTACAAATTTTTATTTATTTGGCGCAAATTTTTTGATATCTTTTTTTTAGAAATATTATATTTTAATTTTACAACATAAGTTTTATATTTTTTCTATAACATTTTTACACATGACACGTAAGCTTGGTGCCCTTTTTTTTGAAAGGCAAGTTTTTTTATGGATATTGATATACTAGAGTGAATAATTAATTGAAAATTTTAAATACTTTTATCTTTAATTTATAATTTATTTTATTTATTATTTATTGAAGATATAAAATTCACATACTTACATCATTTTTTATGTAGTTTCCATGGAGTGCAATTTAAGTATTCCAACGCTTCGGAAGTGCACGAATACCTCTAGAAAGGAAGTCTTTTATTTAAAATGCACCAGTTTCTTCTCTTCTTCGGACCTAAGACTTGCCTCCCATCGTTTCAATGTTTTCCATATTTGCCATATTCATCATATCTTGCCCTCAATTTTTATTTCTTTATTCTTCATTTATTTCTACTATCTTTATCAAAATACAGATTTTTTACTAATGATAAAGCGATAAAAGTGACTGAAAATATAATTTTTTTCATTCTCTATTCTTCTACTACTATTATTACTGAAATATTATTACTGAAATATTATTACTGAAATATTAGACACGTATAAAAGTATTGTACATATAATATTTATTGAAAGCTTATCATAACTTATTGAAAGTTGTCATAAATCATTCAGAATAGAGGTATGTATTATAATAATTTATTAGAGTCAATTTCAACTGAAAAATGTTTATTACTTTGACAGGGTATCAATATTTATTAAGCACTCTTTTATTCGTCCTCGTGAAATATCTACTATAATAAAGTTAATATTAAAATAATTCTTTAATATTTCTTTAACACTTAGAACACTTACATGACAGTAAAATTTCTAAATTTTGTAATTTAGAATAAATAGAGTAGTTTATTGAAGCAACTGTTGTATGCGTAAGCAAAATGAAAATAAATAAATACAATAGTTATTACGTCTCATTTCAATCATAACGGCATATATGTAAAAACTCATATATTATTTAAAACCACAATCTACACTTCATTCCTCTCCACCAATAGAGCCAAACGCGATGTTATTGCGACAATTAAGAAAGAAAGAAAATTTGGAAAGTAAGGAATTTGAATCCTATGGTTGGGATCTCAGAAATTCCCTTTGTTCTTTCTCTTAACATCCCCTGTAAAGAAATAGGCGAGAAAAATATTGATCCGAAAGTCGGCTGAATCGGGAAATTAATTGTCTCAATAATATCGCGTTTGGCTCTATTGGTCGAGAGGAATGAAGTGTAGATTGTGATTTTAAAAATTAAGGAGCTGACTTAAAAATATTCTTATTATTGTTCCTATATTATTTATTATTTATTTAATTACATTATTTAAATATATATAATATTATATTATATTATAAGTATATATATATATATATAATAAATATACTTATTAAATTATTATTTATATTTAGAATTGCTGACTTCCCTCACTCTTGCTTTTTCAGTTGTTCTAGGGTAAATAAATTAATCAAAATAATAAATAAATCAAAAATAATCAAACCAATAAAAAAAAATCAAATTAATCAAACTAATAAAAATAATTCGCATTGTAATACTAAAATAAATAGAATGTAGAAATGTTTAATTGACTTACAGTTTTGATTGCTGGTTTTGATTGGTCTTATTTTGAGTCCAAGAGCTTTGCATCCCTCGCTGGCCTCCTGGATCCCGTTGTTGTGAAATGGATTGATTTGCATTCAACAAATTATTATTGCAGTCCATTTTGAGAGGTTTTAATACTGTAAAACTGTAAACACATCTTGTATATTGCATACAATTTATATAAATTTTAGCAAATTTTTGTAAAATTGTCTTAGAATCGAGTCAGGAATACGATATTTTAAGAACATGTATTATTTCATACATAATAATTTTTACTTTTTTTACCTGATTTTTAAGATGGAAACACTTATTAACTTTCTCACAGATTCAATTCAGAAACAATCTTGATATCAAAGATGATATATGGGTTGAAAGATCTGAAAGATTCACGAATGTTGACCTGTAATTAAGATAATTAAATTAACCTGTATAATTATATATAACAGGACAATAAAACTGATAATAAAATTTTTAATTTATTTATATTTTATAATATATTTTATATAATGTATGTATATAAATAATTATAACAATATATATAAATAAAAATAGTAATATATATATATATATATATATATATAAAATACTAATTTACTTCAGTTTTAGATGAAGTCAGCTGCAAAAGTAATGAACAAAATTATTCAATTTTTTGTAAAAGATAGTAAAAAATCGTAAATAGGCTATTCCACACGAGTCGTGGGTGGTTTTAATTCAGTTAACTATTTTTTATCCATTTTTCAAGCAATACAACAACGTATTTTATATTTTTTTGAATCTTCCTTGAACTTTAAATCGTCGTTATTTTCGATTATATAGGAAAAAGATGTGTAGGAAATTCCATTCCAGTGCTCAATGATTAAGCGCAAATTTTAGATAACTTTTTGTTTGTTTTAGAAAAACAATTCGAGGAAATTAATAAAAAATGGTTAAAAAGTTTTTAAAAAATCTGAAAAACTAAAAGTCGCAAAGTTTCAAGGAATATTATTGTACTGTATAATTGTATTTATTCAAAGTATAAAAAGAAAGAATCAATTATACAGAATTAAAATTGTTTCATAATCGTCTCTCTTTCTTATAAAATAATAATTAAAATAATAATTAAAATTGTGTCGTCTTTTAATGATTATCATCCGAGATTAAAATTTACGCATGAAATATTGAAAATGATAACGCGATTAATTTTTTGAACACTACTGTGATCAGATATAATGGTATGTTGTTAACTGATTGGTTAATGAAACCCACTTGCTCGGGTAGATATATTAATTTTTATTCTAATCATCCTTTAAAATACAAAAAGAATACCATTTTTAATCTTAATTGTTGATCATGCAATTTTATTATCGGACGACCGGTTTCATCTAAAGAACATCTCTAAAGTAAAATCGATATTGACGAATAATTGTTTTTTGTCAAATATTATTAATAAGTTTGTGAATAACAGGTTAAAATTGCTTAAGACACGAAATAATGACGATCGTAATGTGGATAACGATAATTTAATTAGTACAAAATTTGACCGTATTATACAATTACCGTATGTCAAAGAACTTAGTGAGGATGTTTCGAGATTATTACAATTTACTGGCATGCAAAGCGTTTACTGCATACCGAAAAAAATTAAATACATTAATTAAACGCGTTAAAGATCTTTACCTTTAGAAGAAAAAACAGAAGTAGTATATAAAATTAATTGCGCAAATTGTTCCTCATCATATATTGGTCAAACTAAACGACAATTAGGCACACGTATAAAAGAACATTTTAATAATATTAAAATACACAATAATAATTACTCAGTCATAAATAATCATAAATTGGATAATGATCATGATTTCGATTGGTCTGCTCCAGAAATTTTACACCATGAAAAATACGTTAGTAAACGAGAAATATCGGAGATGTTTTTTATCAAAACATTTGACACCACAATTAATTTACAAAAAGACACGGATAATCTAAATAATGTTTACTCAAAACTAATAAAGGTCGTTTAGTTTCATCTAAATATTAAGTATATAAGGATAATAATAGTATAGGAATAATTCTTTGCAAAAATTAATCATTATCAAAAATATTTTCTCAAAAATTATATTTTATTTTTGTTAATAATATAAATATAATAATTTTAAAATAAAGCATAATTATACATTTGTATCATTATAAGAAATTTATCTAATATTATATATTACAGGGTTTGTCCGGAAAGTAATGCGTCGCATTTTTTTGTGACGCGACTATACATCGCAGAGCGATGGGACCGGTTGGGGAGGAAGGGGGGTACCCTTAGCTTTCCAACGGTAGGTCGCTCAATTGTTTCCATGCGCTTGGAGGGTTAGGACGGCTTATTCTGTGAACCTCTGCTTAGTGGTCGCGTCGAACTTGTGATGGAGAGAACGATAGAGCAACGCTATGCGATAAAGTTTTGCGTGAAGCTGGACAAGACGCCGCTGGAAACTTTTGAAATGCTCAAGAAAGTTTGGCCCCGGCGGACTTTTTTTTATTTCCTCGGCTGAAAAGGGAGCTCAAAGGACAACAGCTCGAGTCGGTTGACAACGTACAAGCTACTTCGACGGCCTCCCTGAACAGCATCCCAGTCAAGGAGTTCCAGAAATCTTATGACGCATGGAAATCGCGTTGGCAAAAATGTATTGACGCAGAAGGGTCATACTTCGAACAATTTTAAGTTGTTTTACCTATGCGATCAATAAATTCTTTTTAAAAAAATGCGACGCATTACTTTCCGGACAAACCCTGTATGTTGTCACTTACTTACAACTACCTACTTGTTAGTGCAACTTTTTGATTTCACTACTTTTTGATGCTAATATTTGAACCTTTTTTCTTGTATTATCAATATAATTATTTAGCGCAATTTTTTGATTTCACTACTTTTTGATGCTAATATTTTAATTTTTTTCTAGTATTATTAACAAAAATAAAATATAATTTTTAAATATAATTTTTGAGAAAATATTTTTGATAATGATTAATTTTTGCAAAAAATTATTTTGGCTATAAACATAATTTTTGAGAAGATAATATATTTGATTACGACTTTTTGTAAAGAATTATTGTTGCTTGCGAAAGATATAACTTAGCACTTTTTTTACATCTGTAATGTCTTTTAGTGGGATTTCACATATTTTTGCAAAGTTCATTAAAAGATATAATAAAAAATATGTATATGTACACATATATCTATGCTTACGTACGCACATGCTTGTGTACTTACATATGTATGTGCATGCGTGTAGCTTTTATAGTGACTCTCAATATATTTTATACTACAGTTACTTTAGATAAAAATTGAGCGATACCTCAGAAAAAATGTTAGCAAACTGAAGTTTGGTAAAGACTTTTGTTTTTGCATGAAATTAAAGAAAAAAGTTTATCATTGTACAGTGGCCAAATTCTGTTATTTGCATGAAGTATTCTATAACTGTTTTTGTATAAGCTAAACTTTTTACTTCAAAAATTTACAAGTTGTTTATTGCGGTGTATTGACAAAACGTGGTGGAACGTGCCAACAGACGTTATGTAGATTAAAGTATTGCATGCGCGCACAAAAATGTCATAACTTTTGAATAAATTATCGAACAAAAATGAAAAATGAACCGTTGAAAATCTGGAGATTTCAGCTTTTTAATGTAATTTGTTTTGTTATTTTATGATAAATTTTCTAAAAATTCTAAGACTATCTGTTACTAATTTAATAAGAGAAGACAAACATTACATGTGACATTTTGCTTAAATTATCGTAATTTTTTAAAGTATTAGCGTAGAATAACAAAAGGTTGCATTAAAAAGTTGAAATCTCTGACTTCTCAACTCAGACTCTCAACCCTCGACTCTTCACTCATTTTTGTACAATAATTCGTTCAAAAGTTATGACATTTTGTGCGCGCGTGTAACGCTTCAATCCACATAACGTCTGTCAGCACGCTCCGTGAATATACCGTGCAGCGTATGTCTTGTAAAATTATTTACATAAAAAGTATTACTTGTATGAAAGACTTATAGATAACATTTTTATGCAAAATTATCCATTCTTTAATTTTGTATTTTTGTATTCTTTTGTTTTTTCTGTAAAATCGATATTCAACTAGACATTTGCAAAGAACAAAATTTGAGGCCTAATTGTTTACTTTTTTTTCTTAAAGACCACTATATAATAATGGTAATTTTTTTCCTCTTTAATCTTATGCAAAAACGAAGATTTACCAAAATTCAGCTTTTGTCCGAGGTTAAACCCTAAAGTAACTGTAATATTATTAAATATAAGAGAGAAAGACAGATGTGCGGGAGAAGAGAGAGAGAGAGAGCAAGAGAGCGAGAGAGAGCGATAGAGAGCGGGAGAGAGCGAGAGAGAGAGCGAGAGAACGAGAGAGAGTAAAAGAGAGTGATAGAGAGCGTGAGAGAACGAGAGAAGGCGAGAGAAAGCGAAAAAAACCGAGAGAGAGCGAGAGAACGCGAGAGAGAGCGGGAGAGAGCAAGAGAGAGTGAGAGAGAGCGAGAAAGGGCGAGAGAGAGAGAGAGAGAAAGAGCGGAAGAGAGCGAGAGAGAGCGAAAGAGAGCGTGAGAGAACGAGAGAAGGCGAGAAACAACAAGAGAAAGGAAGAGAGAGCGAGAGAACGCGAGAGAGAGAGCGGGAGAGAGCAAGAGAGAGCGAGAGAGAGCGAGAGAGGGCGAAAGAGAGCGAGAGAAAACGATAGAGAGCGGGAGAGAACGAGAGAAGGCGAGAAACAGTGAGAGAAAGCGAGAGAGAGCAAAAAAAAACCAAGAGAGAGCGAGAGAAGACGAGAGAGAGCGAGAGAACGCGAGAGAGAGAAAGAGCGGAAGAGAGCGAGAGAGAACGAAAGCGAGAGAGTGAGAGAGCGGAAGAGAGCAAGAGAGAACGAGATATATATATTCTCACAAATATTGTTGCCGCTTTTCTGCGATGCTGATTGTATATCTTGAGTCGCTTTATTGTTAAACTAAAAGTATCAAGCACCTGTCATCGCGAAGACTAACAATTTGATTGTTATAAACTATAAAGAAAAACAATACAAATGGCGAATCGCTGTGTTGTCTAGTATATATAAATATATATATATATATATATTTATATCAGGAGACGCGGTAGCGTCTCGCTAAGTTATATCTTTCATTCGTCAAATTAAAATACAATCTACAAAAAACAAAAAAAAATATCGAAAGATATCGAAAAGATAGCGAAAATATCGAAATAATAGCAAAAATTATTCGTAGGACGCTACTTTATATATATATATATAAAACCAATCAGAGCGACGAAAAAAAGGCAACAATACACTTAGAGATTTGAGAGGTAAACCAATATATTCGAGAATTGACTTAACATACCTGTTTTAAAGAAAGGATG